ATGGTAGCAGGAAAATAGGTTTCTTGTTCGAGGCATCAACTGTCAATCTTAGTAGAGAATTGGGAAAATGGTCAGACAGCTTACCAGGGACTTAGAATGTAAAAGGAATTGCGAAATGATTGCGTATTTCGTTTGATTGTGATTGGCCAAACACAATGACGTCATATCGCGGGTCCGTGATTGGTCTTGACTGTTGATCAAACGAAATGCGGTGATATAGACCATAGACTCATAGTGCCATAATTTGTGTATCTCTTTTACTTTTTTCTAAATGCCAAGAGAGAGAAGCGATTTCTGTCTGGATATACGGGGTTAAGTGTTTTATTTTCGAAATAGTTGTTTTTTTGAACCAAAAATAATATTGACGTATCGAGAATGCAATTACCTCGTTCTTGGTGTAAATTTAATATTATTTGTATTTTTTTAGTCCGTTTATTATTTCAATCAGTTTTCAGTTTGTTTTTCTCTTTTCGGATATGTTCTCGTGATGAAAAGATATGACAAAATATTTTAAGTTTAGGAAATTAGTGTTATACTACCCGAGTCACTACAAATGTCTTGGTTAGTAGACTGTAAATTCGTAGTTTTTGTTAATAAGAATTACGAAAAGCCTATTGGAACGTAATTTTACTTACTATTTAAGTCGGATACGTACGTGAGCTGGAAGGTAACAAGAAAACACGGTTTTGGCTTTAAGGATTACGTCTAGGCCGGCTTTACAAGCCTCTCAGACATTGCTGAGCCCCTGGTAAGTGTCTGCCACACGTTTTATTTTCTCTATAGCCTTTATTTTTATTAGGGTCGTGTATTAAAACTACTTCCAGTACTTCTGTATTAGACATTTTCGAGACCTCAGTTGTCTTTCCTGATAGGACCTTCAAACTTTTAAGAAAAGATACTCTTTTTTTAAAGGTAACTCACTAACAAGGGTGTCGATGGGCTACTGCAGCTACCATTTTATAAACAAAAAAATTGTTTAAATAATTTAAATTTTCTGTTAGAATATCTTAAGTATAGATATTATTTTATAGTATTTTATTTATCTATCTATTCTGTGGTTCGTTCTATTTTCACTTTAAAAAATTAATGAAGTAATAATAGTAATCATTTATTTGCAAGAATATGGTACAATAGTGTTATGGTGGAACAATCTATAGTTCGCATATTCTGCCACACATAATGGCGTGCGAATTTGTCTTAAAAGGTAGAATTTTACATAGAAAATGTATCACTACATTATTAAAATATATTATTGCGTTATCAAATTAATATTAAATTAATAAATTTCACACAAATATTCATGAATAACATTTTTCCCAAAAGTAGCTCATTAAGTCGATTTTTAACGACTCGAGGAACATCTTTGAATGTTTTTGGTGAATTATTTATGATTGCCACACAAAAGGGTGTTTTTACTTTACAATCTAACTAATTATGCTGACATAAACCCCTTATGTTTACAGAGTAGCGAAATTCAACATACTTATTAACCTCTGTTACCATAGTAACATCCCAACGTGTAAAACGTAATTACAATTGTAACCATGGTAACAAGCACGGTAATGGCGGCTTTGGTCAAGCGTTATAAAGGTACGATTTCACCAGAATAGCGTGCGGCACATTTGTTTACAAACATTTTGTCCAAAACAATAGCAGAACACGTAAGCGCGTATTGCGTTTGGGTTCTGTCGTCAACGACGCTTATGGGTACAAAAATATTCCATGTTGATTGCTATGAATTTGTGGAATTGAAAGTGGACATGACATTTAAATTGCAGAAATAACTTTAACGTTACACGGTTACATCATTCTACGAGCTACGGAATTAACCAGATCGCCGTAGATGAGTGTGCTACGTTGTAATTGCTAGGAAAATTTCCATTTGATTTTAAGTCAGTGGAGGATATGTAGACAATTTAATTCTTCGATAAAAAAATTAAATCCTAAATAAACACTGCGTTGTTAAAATAGAATAACGAATTATGATCAAATAAAAACTGCTAAAAGCAGCTTTTTCCAGTTAATCGTTATGTAATTAATCTAATCGTTTAAAATAACAAAAAAAAAATACTCAAATTAAAACGTGCACAGAGTACAATGAAGTACAAAAAAGGTTTTATGGTACAAATTCTTCATATCTACATCTAGGTGTGTTTTCAGGAGATTTAGGGTATTATACAGGTCCCTTATTTAAGTCGACATGCAATTTATATTACGAATAACGTTAATGCAATCAAACTTAAGTAAGGGTCCTTAAATTTACAGACTCTAACATAGTGCTCTTGTTACATGTGTCAGCTGTCAGGTGGCTGAGTGTGGAAGACCTAGAGAGAAGAACACTCAGTTGTCTATTTCTCCCTAAAAAAGGCCTAATCTTATAATAAAGTATCTTTTATTTTAATAGTAGCTGACCCGGCGAACTTCTCGCCGCGTAATAGTCAATTTACGTCGTGTTATAGATTAACTGAACTTAATTTATGCTTTTATGAAAGTAATACAATTAATTCAAAATAAATATTAAGTTCACATATTAAGGCGAAGCGCGCGCACACCGTCACAAGAAACCGACACCCTGAAGTTACCTATAGTTAACATTTTAGTTTTTTCTATTGTTAGTGTAATTTTTCTACAAACGTAGAATACAATTTTTGAAAAAAATTTTATCTTATTACTACAAAGAAGTATAAATTTTAACGCGTGTCCATGAGTACACACACGTTTTTCTAATATATAAAATTCTCGTGTCACAGTTTTCGTTGCCTTACTCCTCCAAAACGGCTCGACCGATTCTCATGAAATTTTGTGTGCATATTGGGTATGTCTGAGAATCGGACAACATCTATTTTTCATCCCCCTAAATGTTAAGGGTAGTCCACCCCTAAATATATTTTTTTTATTTTTAGATATTTTTTTCTGATTTTATTTTTTTATGATACAGCATTAAATAATACATACAACCCCTAATTTTCACCCCTCTACGATCAACCCCTATTTTTGTATTATAAATGATATACATGGCAAAACGACGTTTGCCCGGTTAGCTAGTTTAAATCTAAAATACGCAATTATGCGATTATTGTGAATAAATTTCGATTCGATACCTTTATTTATACGTTCTTTAATTAGAGGGGAGAATTTATTGTATCGACGGTATGAACATTAAATGTTTGACAGTTACGAACCGCATGGTTCGTATTTAATTTATTTTTGTTATAATTTATTATTCAATGTTTTTCTATATTTTCAATGTTTTTATTTTTTCTACTATTCGGGACAACATGTCAAAAACTTAGATAATCGGTCCAACCCTTCTCGAGTTAGTACAAACAATGCCGACTTTTATAAATTACCGTTTTTTTTAAATGGAATCTTACTGTTGGCCTTTACAGCTTACCTCGGGGCTCGGGCTGTTTTGGCGACCGTAGCTCGGCCTTAATAGGCGTTGTTCCACCGACTAGCGCAAGGGCGTCTGCTAGACTCGGACCTCGGTTTGGGCAGGACGGAAGCTCACTGGAGTGAGCGAAGTAGGTACAAAGTAAAGGTCCCCGAGGAAGGCGGTTTTTAACCCTAATCAGATTTTGCGTTAATTAAGATTTTTTTTTTTGAATGGAATCTCGCTATTGGCCTTAAGGGCCTTTACAACTCAGCTCGGGCTGTTTTGGCGAGCGTTCAGCGTGCCAGATTGGGCGTTTTTTCCCGCGACAAGCGCAAGGGCTTCTCCTGTGAGACTCGAACCTCGGCTTGGGCCGTCACGGGTTGTTCGCATTGTATCGCCTGAAGGGCAATCGCCTTACTTAAGATTTATTTTACAAGCCTTATAACCTAAATCCACAACACAACGATAGCGCGTTTTAACTAGTGACGTCATATGTCTACGATAATCCATTATATTGTGATGAGAGCTCAGAAATGTACTGTTGAGTACTTATGAAGTGCGATGATCGAGCAAGTTATCGTAGTAAATCACAGCCGGCGCCAACGTGGTCTGTCACTTGCCTGATGAATTATGATTCATTCAGCAAAAACTTCCCTATTATATTTTATGACTTTATTTTTTGCCAGGCTTGCCGTTTAAGCGTTTTGTTAGTCGCTATTCTGATGTATTTTAAATTAGACACTTGCCAACTAGCGAACTGTGGAATTGACTCCTGGTCCGAGTTTTCCCTGGGAGATATTTCTTTATTTATTTCCACATCATTCATATTAGTATTTTATATTTTCTGCAAAATAATTTATTTTAATCTCAAATGACGAATAAAATATATATACATATATAGTATATAACTTTTGTATTAATTTTCGAAACATTAATATTTTAATGTCCATTAAATTCCTAACATATCTTCCTTTTTCCCTCCCTCTAAGTCTCGGAAATCTAAAGTTTAGATTTGTATAAATATAAATAAGAGTTTAAAATTAGTTTGCCAAAAAAGTTTCACTTCTGACATGTGTACTTTGTACGCACGCACTATTTTTTGAACGAAATGTATACTTAGTGTCATATATTATACATACAATTGAGTTATCCATTAAACATATAAATCTTGATTTGTGGATAGTACGTGCATCGTGTCTGCATATAGTATGGAAATATATATAATACTCGGGATCGCTGTAATGCTGTACATGCTGCTTAATATGGTATTGAAAAGTAAGTGCTGGAAAACTTCAGGAGATGGATGCTACTGTGATAACTGCAATAAAGTCTCCGAAGTGAAGCATGAGAATGGTGTCAAATGCGTTTCCTCCGGGGTGCCAAGTGAATGGCCGTAAACTGCAAGCTCCTGCAGTTTCATGGTCTCCTGGTAGTTCTGTTTGACGTCACACGGTCCTGGTAGATTTCAGATAGGAACGAAGTTCCCTGGTGACGAGAGAAACCACCTCAACCTTGGTGAACTTCTTTTGTGTTAGAACTCTAACATATGTGTATTAAAAAGTTGTGATTGAACTTTGTGCCAAAAATTGTTGCCAAAAGTGATGTGCTTATTTTGTGACGGGAAATGGACCCATTCGCTCGACTAATGGAGGGTGCCCCCCTTCCCGGGGTATTACCCACGCGAGATGCGAGGCCCCGGGGCGCGCTGGTACATGCCAGCCTGGCCGCTACTCCACACCTTGGGGACAAGAAGGGAAGACACCTCACTGGCACCTTCTGTCTCACCGGTGATACCATGGAAGGGATCATACAGTGTTTGGTCTTCTTAAAAGCGTTTTCGGTAAGTTAATAAACGATTTAAATATTGATAGTGTACTATTTTTTCATGCTTTTCCAGATACAGTGTAAACTATATAATATATCTATATAATGACACTGAGGGGACTGGAGAGAAGAAAAACGTATAGATAATCCATGACTCCTACTTATTAGACATGGTCAACAACAGTCCCATCGTGCAAGCAATCCCAATTTGTAAACAAAAGAACGAATTTCTAAGAAAGTTCGTATGCATGATTCCGACAGTCGAGTTTATTGCGGGCTAGGATAATAAAGCTACAAAAGAACATACACAGCTGCGCAGTTTTTATAAATTTTAGCAACTTAAAAAGTACTTTATTTACCAATTGTTGTCGTTATTGAGAGTGTAATGCTAAGTAGAGTGTATCATTGTATGGAAGACAAGCTTAACCAACCAAAGCCAATTGATTTCGAAGCTTTAGGGAGTTCATTGTTAAATCAAGGGACGTTATATGGAGTAAAACTGTATTTAAAAAAGATTCTATCTATGAGCGATATGCCATTTTAATTGAATAACAATAGTTTATACGTTTTTAAATCTACATGATTACAATTCTTTTCATTTATATATGACCTAAAAACACGCGAACCCTACGAACAAGTGAAGAAAAGACGTTGGAAGTTATACTCAAAAATATTATTCATGAAGATATGATACAAGTTTTTATGATATTTAATTGCCTTCACTGTACAAAGAGGACTCATGTGTGTACTGCACTCGAATACTGGTGGGAGGAGACATGCTCTTAAATGAATAGAAATATGGGTGCCTGATAATACCTATTAATAATAGCGTTAACAAGAAATTATAATAATAATCAGTGGCGCTACAACCTTTTAAGGCCTTAGATTTCTGTATCTGTTTCATGATCATTTGTCAATCTAATAGACAAGTAGGTGATCCAGTGCCTGACACACGCCGTCGACTTTTTGGGTCTAAGGCAAGCCGGTTCCTCCATTTTCCTTCACCGTTGGAGCGAATTAATGCGCACATAGAGAGTCCATAGGTGGAGCGGGGATCGAACTGCGATCTGAGGAATGAGAGTCGCACGCTTAAGCCACTAACACAGCTCTTACCAAATTTTGTCTTAGGGAGCGTTCAAGTATTACGTAACGAATTTGGGAGGGGGGGGTCCTTTTGTAAAACGTTACGATGCGGGGCGGGGATTAAATTACGCGTTATTGTTAATATTTTTTTCGACTTACACCACATAATAGTAACTTAAGAGTCACTAGGTGGTCACGAAACGTTTTGCTATACTTGGGTACAGTACTGAACGCTCCCTTACACAAACCATTAAATGGGGGTCTTCTTAGCATGTGTGACAAAGTCGTTGGTAGGTCACTGACATACGTTTTTAAAGTCCAACAGCAGAGTGGTTCTCGCTATGAGGGTTGAGCATCTTTCATTCTTGTAGACCGCATGGTCTTCTACTTCTTTCAGAGAAGAAGAAGGTAAAGTATTTGCATGTTATACTTCTTTGGCGCAACAAGATATCGTAATCTTTTCAAAAATTGTATTCTACGTTTGTAGAAAAAACGACACTAACAATAGAAAAAACTAAAATGTTGACTATACTAACTTCAGGGTGTCGGATTTTTGTGACAGTGGCGCGCGCAACAATTTACTCTTATCATTTTTCCCTAACGCGCCAAAAGAAGTATACGTTCAAAAATCTCTGATTTTTGCTGTATTCGGGAACCGAATAGGCTTTGTACGGGACCCGAGAAGTAAATTACGCCTACGATTAGACGTCTAACGGGTTTCACGTCATTTCACCAGCATGATGTATTGCGCCGTTTGGAAATTGCGGCTCTGAGCGATGTTTTTTTAGCGCAGGTTATCTACACTAAGGGTGTCAAAGTCAGATCAATACTTTTAAAGAAAAACTTCTTAACCGGATTAAAGTTATGTATTATTATAAATTTACAATTATTTAACATAATTTTAAATTTATCCGACGTTTCGCGTGCTTTACAGCGTGCGTGGTCACGGTGACTGAAGACAAAAGGTGTTGGATGTCAAAAAGTATCACAGCTGCAGAGAAAGTTGCATTATCTGTATTTATTTCCCCGGAGTTGGTATCGACTAAAAGATGGAGGGTTTTGGCAAAAATAGCTCACGGTGTCCTCTATTTTCGCGGATACTTGCAGCTGTGATACTTTTTGACATCCAAAAGAATAAGTAATACAGGAATTACAAAAGTCACGATTGAGCAGGATAGGATATGGTTTAAAAATGTTAATGTAGAAGAGTTTTAAAAGGTGTTAGCCAGATAGCCAATCGTATGGAGTCGGGCAGCCTTTTCCACAACTTAATGGTGGAGATCATAAACGAATTGCCTCAGAAGGATGAGAGGGAATTTCCAAAAACGAATCTGTTCGAGGAGCGTAATATATAGTTGGACCTGAGAATTTGAATTCATTTTTAAGGTTTACAGTTTTCTCTTCGGGGATTAAATTTATTTGATTATTCGCATTAAGTTAAATGTAATGAATGCGAAAGTCGTCCAAGGTTGTGTTATTTTGAGTCGTCATAAAAATTATTGTACTGATGCATTTAATCTGACATCGTTGACCCACTTTGGAGGTATTAAACGAAAAATGTTGGATGTATTTTCTTTTGTTATTTCTTAAAATACATTAATTTATGTTAGGCTGACATTTTGTTTTTTAATAAACACGTGCATTAAAACGATTGTTGAATGATTTATAATAAATAATCAAAAGATGCAATGTTTTTATTTATTTATTTGTTTCGTAATTCTACAGCTAACAAAAATTATATAATAACAAAAAAATACACTAATAATATAGCCAGAGATGGAATACATAATTTTACTATCTATGGTTAGTATATTTATAAGGTTTAAACTTGACTAGAAGCTATGAAAATAGTCAAAAGACTTTGAACTAATAAAAACATTAGGTATGATACACGGCGAGTGATAATAATCACATTTCATTAAGTGTGAACACGAACACGTTCATTTTTTTTTCAGTATCTAATTGCGTCCAAAATATTAATTAAAATAAAAAATACTTTGAATAAGTATTATTGAGTCTTGTCGTTCACGTCTTGGTCTAAAAATATAGTTAAAAAGTCATTCATGACTAATTCACGTAGCGATACAGAGTGCTACGAGGTGCTACGAGATTTAATATTTTGTAACGAATTAAACCAAGTGGTTCTAGTAAAATTTCATTTTATGAATTAAAATTTGTAAATTAAATTTTAAAGAATAACCTTCGAATTAAATATCAAAGTCAACTGAGCCTTATTAAGATGGTTCGTATTTATTCAAGCACTTCTGTTTATTTATTTCAGTTACACTGAAAATATAGCCAGAAATGGAATACATAATACATTTTACTACAAAAAGGTTCAAAAATTTACAAAATCAAACAAACAAAAAAAAAATTATTCAATACATTCAACTAAATAATACCTAATTTGGCTGTGTTGTGTGATGGTGTCAAAGTGAGGGTAAGTACGTGAAAGTGTGTATGTGGGGTATGCTCATGATGCAGGTGATTTTGCGCTATGGATATTCTTAATACTCCTTTTAACCATATTCCGCGATAGCTTAAACAAGTCAAGGCTTAAATATTGGTCGTTGTATGTCCGGGCTGCGCGATACAAAACTGAGTTTTTTGCATAGTTGGTGTTAATGTGAGGAACATGAAACAAAGCACGATTACGAGTCTGGTAGGCAGGAACAAGGAAGGGCAATTTTTCTAGAAGGGAGCTGCAATTAATTTTTAATGTTGAATCAGGACATTCATGAGAAAAATTCTTTCATATGGAAAGCGTACTGCTGTAACCTAAAAAGTTACATTTATTAAACGCGAATAAAAGCATGCATTTACGCCTTTAGTACACCTACGCAATCGCATGCGGCAGCGAAACGACGAAAAAACTGTAAGTTGTATGGCAATGTTTCGCATGTGTTTTGTCTCGCTCTATTATATAGCTAGATGAAATAGTTGCGTCCTTGTCGGTATTGTTTCGCAAGTAACTGCGAAATGGCTGTTACACAGACGCAGCCGTTTCGCTAGCGGAGTTTCGCATCGCAATGCGTCACCACGCGTTCTGTCAGTGAGGACAGAATTTCGCACAATGGAAGCCGAAAATATTGAATTATTATTAAATTTGATTCGAAATTATCCCGAATTATATTTAGTTGGGCATGTTAATTACAAAAATGCATACAAAAAAGAGGTGGCATGGAGAAAAATTCAAGAAAAGACGGGGATAGATGGTAAGAAATAAAGCTACAATGACATTTCCTTGCGAAAAAACTGCAGTGTACTAACGTTCCGCAGATATTTCGCTACCGCAATTATTTCGCAAAGATTCGCAGCCGCATACGAACGCGTAGGTGTACTAAAGGCGTTAATGCATGAAGCTGCGTGGCAATTTACCGCAACTCAAAACTTTTAAGTTCTCATTTTAAAGAAAACTGAATCAATAATATCATTTTAATCACAGTTATTTACCGTATATATACGTATATTACAGAGATTCCATGAGTCTGGAGGCACTCGTAAGTAAGTCCCAGGACGCCTACATCGCAGAGACGCACTGCGCAAAAGTTTATTTCATTTAATTTATTTGCATACTCTTAGTTTATCAAGTTTCTTGTAAGTGCGGTGTGTTGCTTCGTTAGGATAATGCGTTCCTAGTACTTTGTCACAGTTTATAAAAAAAATTACCAGTGGCGCTACAACTTTTGGGGTTTTGGCCTCAGATTTTCTGTATCTGTTTTGTGATCAAATTGTATTTAGGTGATCAGCCTTTCGTGCCTCAAATCAAATCAAATCAAAAATCATTTATTAATGTAGGTAACACAATGTACAGTTGTTCACACTTATGAACATCAATTAAAAAAAAGAAATATACATTAAATGCTTCTAATTATACATTTACTGCCAGTTCTCAAATCATGGGCGTAAAACGGAAGAGAAGAGCAATAAACTCTCCGCCACTCTTTTTAATCGCCAGGTTTTCGTTTTACACAACGTTTGTAAGGAGCTGCAATCATTACACCATGTTCCACATGACATCTTAAGTAATATAAAGCCTGACTGACACATGCCGTTTTGGGTCTAAATCAAGCTGGTTTCCGCAGGCTGAAGCTACTAAGGCTAACGCTATTCTCACTATATGTTTAAGAACATTTTAACCAAGCTTTGCCAAGCATAGTAAATATATTTTATATGTACTGTATCAACTCTTCCCCTTCAGTATAATGAATTCTGCTCACATAACAGGGAATGAAATTGAATTTGACAATTTAGGTTTTACCAGAAAACGTTTTACAATTTTAAATTTATTTTCAAAATGTACATATTACGTGTATATATATTCTAAATACAGTGTAAACTCTTTATAACGAATTTCAAAGGACCGTGCATTTTTTTTGCTATATGGAGGGAAGAGAAAAAAACTAAATACTATACTATCTATTTAATACTATCAAACTATTCTAAACACATATAAAATATAACGCTTTTGTTTTACTGGCCATTTTGACACTTTCAAAGTTTGTTTACGACTGATAATAATACACGATAGGTGACAATGGTGCCTTTAGTAACTGAGACCAAAATTTTCTACAGGCAATGTAATCTAAGAATAATGGCACACGTGTTAATGCAATGAACAATATCAACGGCGAGACGGCTGTTTATGACCTCAGGTGTCTTTATTAGAAAGGTCGGCACCTCAAAAGGTTAGTTTTGTAAGTTGATTATAAAAACAATTACCCTTAAGTATTTTGTTGATGTCTAAATATGACAATATTTCTTCGTTGTAGAGAGTGGATGTTGCGTTATAACGAGTGAAGTATGGTTTTTGTGATAAACCAAACAAATGTATCTATTTTTTCGTTATAACGCATGACGTTATAAAGAATATTTACACTGTAATTTACTGTTTTAAAAATATGAAATAATTTAATAAAATCGCTCTGAAATTAATCATATTGATCCATGTAGCTCACGTTGTCCATAAATTCGTCCTAATCCGTCCTAGCTATCAGCTCGCCCGACATCGGACAACCCGCACCGACCCTTGTTAAAGTGGCGCTTTAAATGTCTCGCTTTATTATGCTATCCTAGTACCTACTACAACGTACGGTTTACAGGATCACACTAAAATAACCGCAAACTTGTTAGTGAGGTAACTTTAACTAATTTTAACTATTGTTTCTGAATCTGTGAACTTTGATTACGTGATAATGATTGAATATTAAAGTAAAGCGCCATACATGAGCATTTTCTATTTAACTGGTTGTTTTTTAATCCATAAAATAGTAGTTGTCAATCTCTTTTATCTGTGCTTTACGTGATGGGGAGTAAAATGAACGACACAAGAGCGCGTTCTGTTTGATTGTGATTGGCCAACAGGGTCACTAGTTAACAGGCGACATGATAACATCATGATACATGTTTTTTTTTTTATAGAAGGGGGGGCAAACGGGCAGGAGGCTCACCTGATGTTAAGTGATACCGCCGCCCATGGACACTCTCAATGCCAGAGGGGTCGCGAGTGCGTTGCCGGCCTTTTAAGAATTGTTACGCTCTTTTCTTGAAGGACCCTAAGTCGAATTGGTTCGGGAATGTTGCATGTTTACCCAATAAATCGTCTCGTCTTTTGTTTTGCATTCTCAATCCTATTAACGCCGGATTACCTGCGGAGTTTCATCATCGGACCTCAAGGCAGTATACGAAATTCCACCCGTATCACCTCGATGTCCATCGTTCCACAACTGAGCGTTTTAAGACAGTTTTTCTATCACTATGTGGAAACAGCTGCCCACTGAAGTATTTCCGAACCAATTCGACTTAGGGTCTTTTAAGAGAAGAACGCTCTTCTCTACGAATCTTAAAAGCCGAGCCCTCTGGCATTGAGAGTGTCCATGGGCAACATCAGGTGAGCTGCCTGCTCGTTATTCTCGTACTATAATAAAAAATAATAGAAACGTAGCAAATATATGTTCACTAACATTTATTTTTTATATCGTTGCACGAACAGTTCCATGTAATTAATCTTCTCGCGGGTAGCGTAAAATGCATTAAGCGACTAACTCTGCAAAGTAAATAATGTTCGGTTAATGTACCGCATCGCTCTGGTTTTCACGCTTATGGTTACATTCATAAAGCTGCGTTTTAGTTTAGTATATTACTGTTTGTGTCACATTTGTGTCTTTTTTATTTATTATTTTTATAAGGCATACAATGTACGTATTGCAGATGTTCAAAGTCGCTTTTTTGGTATAAGTATTCATTATTTACGAGGCTAAAAGTAAAAATATAATCGAAAAAATTTAATCATTACTTATTATCTCACGACATCAAGAAAAGAGCGTACCAATTTTCTAAGGGTGCGTCCACATCTTCGCGCGGGCAGTCACGGCAATGGTTTGGTGCGCCTCTTTAGCGCAACTCATGGAAGG